GCCCCCCCCCCAAACCTCCAGGAGTGTCCCAGCCTGGACCTGACAACCTCGCCGGTCAGCCCCCCCCCGCTCGCCGCTTGCCTTCCAAGCGGCGGCGGCGGCGTTCATACAGCGTTCCTTAAACATCCCCCCGATATTTGTTTTTAGTTTTTAGATTTTTGTGCACCCCTGGGGACTGCCCCAAGAGTGCACAAACCTCCCCCTCCCCCCCAAGTGCCCCCGGAGCGCTGATTTAGCGATCCGCACTCCGGGGGCCACTTGGCTATTAGATATATAGATCTTTGCTTCCACCAATGTATTTATAAATAAAACAAAGTGTTCTATCATCCAAATGAAAACAAACCCTGGTAGCATTGCCCCAAGAACTTCCCAACTGTATTTAAAAGAAGGCAATGTTGTCTGTTTGCTGCCCCAGGGCTAAGGGGAGGGGGTAAGGCAAGCACCCAAGGCAAAGAGTTCCTCTATACCCCAATTAAATACTAATCTCGTTCACAGCTTCATTTGAAATAACACACATGCGCACACAGTTTTCAGAAAAGCTGAATAAAATTAGCCACACCTTTATTGGTTACAGCTGTAGTATGCTTTGGCACAGCATGGGGTACCAGATCCTGTCCATCGACAGCCCCTCTGCCAATCAGTGATCTGCTGGACACCTTGGGATGACAGGTCTCTGGGTCCCACATGGGCAGATGCCCCGAGACAGTCTCCCCTGCCACCTGAGTGTGAGGGTAACCCCAAACTGTCCCCTCAGGGTGGGTGTACCACTTGACCATCACACCAAAATCCCTTATGGGGATCCCCAAGCTCAGGAAAATGGGCATGCAGGCCAGCTTTCCTGATAATAGGTTTGGCACCATGCTGATACCACCAAGTTGTGACAAGGAAGAAAATCAGGTTAAACAAAACCGCATGCAGACCCCATCAAACTACACCTAACTAAAGAGTCGGGAGGGTAGGCCAAGTCATCTGACGCTGAAGATGGTGAGCAGGGGCAGTGTGACACCCTAAATAGCGGCCGGGGTGCCCCGGCCCCCAGGACACCTAGGACCTGCTGACAGGGCTCACATCAGGTCAGGTGGGGCCCAACATCCGGTGCCTGCTGCCAACCCACCCCCTTTTGGCTGGCCAGCCCACCATAGGCACCCTCGCTCTCCCCCCTTCCTGCGGCACCTCAAACAGTCTGGGCGCCGGCATTTGGAAGGATGAAGTCCCTCTGAGAACAAAGCAGCTACTGAACAGAAAAGCTTTCAGATTTAAATACTTTTCCTTTGCCTTAAAACAACTGTTAAGGTAAGACTACCAAGATTTCTTCACCCATGGTCACCCATTCAATGAGAAATTGTGTCTGAATAAAAAAACCAAATATGGCTTGTCCTCTCATAAACAAATGCTAAGAAAGAGCCCTCTTCAGTATGTCTGCTGATGTCAGACCCCGATACCTGCTTGTTTAACATGAGAAGGTCTATGGGAATGTGTGTCACTTGGAAGTCTTTTCAGTTCATATAAACATCATCTATCCCCCAGCATGGGAAAACGGCTACTCCTGAAAACATATAATTGTGCTCTGCCTTCACAATCAGAACTGAAACAGACCAGTTTAGCTGTTACACTGAGTTAGTTGATGGGATCAGTCATCATGTTGGTTCTGCTTTATGATCAACCACAAATGCCTTATGAGGTGTCGCAATACGGGTGTTGCAGCCTCTGGTTAAGCTTTAAAGCAGGCGGATGTGGATCTGTGACAAAGTATTAACCATGCTAAATTTGGCCCTAATATTTTAGAGGCTCTTAGATTTGTGCAGCAGTGAATACAGCATTGACTTTTAAGATAGAACTTTTGTAGCTAGAAGCGTAGACTATTTGCAATAGTTTTATGTTGGGAAGCACAGGAGATGATAAAGGGAGACAGGGTTCTCCTTGTATAATCCTGCTTGAATAAATAATACTAGTTTGAGCTCCTTAGAAGTGAGATTCTGCATGTCATGAAAGAGCACGTCATCAACTCACTTCAAATATAGGCTACCACTTAATATCAGTTACTGGAACTCTTCAGCAAAAAAAATCATTTGACTGAAACATCTTTATGGAACCTTACAAAGAATAATAACACAGGTGAGGCAAGGCTGGAGATTAGGTGCAGTATGGCAGATAGTATGACTTGAAAACTGCCTGTCATTGTCTATGCAGGGGTGAAAGCTCAGTGGTTATAAAAACTCCTTTTTTGTGTATGGAACTGGTGCATCAGTTTTGAGGGTTGCAGGGGTAAACACATACTGGAAGTTTGCAGAACCTTTTCTCAAACAGAACATATTCCAGACTCATGCTCAACTTGTCTGCCAGCACTACAGTGGCAAACTACAAATTATTTCCAGTGTCCTCCTATCATAGATCTGCATAAAGGCATTATGATACTAGCTGCTGTATTTCCAATCTATGGTCCCAACAAGCCCCAGCACCCCACACTTCCCACAGTGACCAACACAAAGATCATTCAACTTCACCACTATGATCACCCCTTCTTCCTTTAGTAATCCTTGAGTTGTCACCAAACAGCCCAATTGCTTCCCTAACTGCTTTACTGAATCTGATGTATTTAAAGAAATGCTTGTGGTTTGCTTTATATGCCTCTCAAAATACTGTCAACTTGTATTTGCTTGCCAGTGAGTGGCCTAATGCCATACCCTAGTTAAAGACAAAGGGTAGAATGCAAGCCATGTGCATTTCTATGGACCACAAATGTGGTTTAACCTCAATAAACAATTATTAGAAAAGTTAAGTGTTTTGGTACACACAAGAAAATAAGAGATTCCTAATGATTGCATGTTTTAATGGCCTTGCTGATTCAGATGACATTCTTTATTAATACCGCTTGCATTTAAAGATCCAACCACGTAGAAACTGATGCTAAGAGGAAAGATACAAGCATGGCTGTTTAACTGGTACACTGGATTAAGATTACTGGATTTTGTTTCATGCCAAATGCTTTTCCCCCCTGTCCCTTAAAACAAATATGGAGGCACAGATTTTCATATTAAAATGCTACAGTCTCATACATTTTACAGTTCACGTTTCTTTTTTCTAAAAGAAACCCCTGCACTGAACTGGTCCCATGGGAGAAATTTATACATCACATCATACAGTAAACAAGATTTAGATCATTTTTTTTCATATTTGCGGGGAACACTAATAAGCAGTCTACAAAATAATATGGTTAAATACAGTCATATGAGAATAGGGTTGTTTAACTGTCGCAACGTGGGCACTGAGTGTTGCGGCCTCCAGAATTCTCCTTTACAATTCAGGATTATAGTTATAATTCATGTGTGCACTTTTTAGGGATTTTATATCCTTTTGTAACATTGGTGGTTATCATGTACCGCAGCCAGATCTGGCACAAGTTTCAAGTAGGTCCTACATTGTATGAGCTTCAACAGGAAAAGAATTTTTTTTTGGGGGGGGGGAGGGATCAGGCTTTTAGTGATGAATACGAACAAGTCATACTATATCATGGAGTGTTAAAATACAGTGAACAGGCATTTCTTGACATTAATACTTGTAAAATCTTACTATTCATCAACAGATGCTTAGTATATCATCTTAGGGTTTTTCTTCTTTCAGGGACTCTGTTGCCAGCTTCATTTGCTAAAAGAAAGTAGAACATGATACAAGTTAAACAAACACCACATCTGAAGGCAAATAAAAAAAATACAGCTTTGAATAGAATCAAGACCCTTTCTATACTTGGACCCTTTCCTGCTGCTGAGGCTTTGTTCCATAATATGCTGGAAGCGAAGTTAGAACTGCAGCTGCATTCAGCATTTGAGACAGTGCTCATACCAATTCAGAAATGCCCACACTCACCACTAAGAACAATGGGACTCACTCCCAAGGAAGTGGAAGTGTTTTAGTATCGCTGTGACCAATCAGCAAACATCTCTTCATCTCTCACATTTCAAAGGTGCACCCATAGCCACAGTTTCCTTGATCTTTTTAAAATGTGTGGCTTTTATGAGTGTAACTGCAAATAAAGTGGATTTACGTATTTATGCTAATGAAATATAAATAAATGTGGTAGCAAATGATGGCTACTGAGATAAAATTAATTACAAGGGTTAGCAGGTGGCAGGAGGAGGGAACATTTCAAAAGACAAAACAGCGAGACCTTTGCTGAGTGAAGGCTGCAATAGAGAAACTGCTAATTAAGCTATACTTTTAAAGCACACTTGTGCAAAAATGCTTTTTAAAAAAACGGGACAAAACCTTTGGCTATGGGGGAAGGGACCATAGCAAAATATGATAATGGTACTACAATCAAGGAATACAGGACATGCAATGCAAAAAGTGGAGCATTTACTAATCACATCACTCACCACCCCATGGATTACACCTCCATGTGAAGCATCAATAGTATTTGGCCAGTCCACACTAGATAGGCAGTGCTACAATTGCCTTTAAGGCCATTCAAAAGATGGGAGCCCAACGAGAAAAATACTGCCAGACCACTCACTTTTAATGCCACCACTTTATGGATTCTGCATAACGGAGTTTAAAAAGTATAACTTGCAGAGGAAAGAGGTTGTGTGGATGCAGCCTAGGTAATTGAGGGAACGCAGTGGAGAATTTAAGGCTGGTAACAGTGTGAGGTTCTGGCAGTTGCTCAGATTCAAATGAATCTCCATTTGCATTGTACCTTAATTTCCCATGAATTAAAATTCAATTAAATAATTTTATCATTAAATTATAAATTCATTTGGTTAATCTTTAAAAGTCACAATTAAAAACAACATTTCCCAACTGCTTCCGATACCATTTTTGCAGTCTCTAAAAATTAGCCCCAAACACCAGTTTTGAACACCTTTTGGAAAATGCTCATGCTGAGGCTTTAGAAAGTTTCCAAGAGATGGAATCATTTGGTGTGGCATGGCCAAAAACATACTCATAGTTGAGTGGGAGTATCTTTGCTAACCTATACATTTTTTGTTGTGTATAATTATAGCAAAAGAGGTGGAAAAATCTAATCAATGGTATTAAAATTCTCCTTTAGCAGCCATCTAAAGTTTGAACCACTTGAAAAACCAAAGTCGGTACCAAAATACTGGATGTACTCACAGAGCATCTTCAGAAATTAGATGCTCCATTCTCTGGTGGAAGGGGAGACTATGGGATGTTGTGGTAAAGAGACTGGAAATCCTCATACAGGGAAGGGAGGTCCTTGTCTATAGCAAACCACTGGTTCAGACTGTATGATATGTGAAATCAGAATCCTCTTCACTGTGTTCCAAAACAATCATGCCATAGTCTCCCTAAAATGTTACACCTCCATTTTACCTATTAGCAAATTCATTTTAGTTTACTGTACATTTTTGTTTGTATGTCATCCTAGCAACAGTGGGAAGAATCTCATAAGCGAAAGATAGTGTCCTAATCCTCCTTTAGCAGGCTTGCTGCCTCACGTTCAATTAAATGCCTTAAATGCTTGGTTTAAAAAACACCAGGAGAGAGAATGCAATATTGCATTCATAACCCAAAGGTGGACTAATTTACATGTCCCAAAGCAATTTTCTCAAGTTTTCAACCTTATTGTGTGCTGTGGTTCTAAGTCTGTAATTGTGCTGTGAATGTTCTAGTATGCTGTGCTGCCTGTTTACAGCACAGAATTTATAACCAAACATTTACATCCATCTGATGTCAGGAAATTTGTACCAAGTATAAAATCAAACCATGAGTACCTAATCCCCTTTTTATTTTAATAGCTTCATTATGTTGACCTCTTCAGGAAAAACTTTTTATTCATAAGGCAACAAATACCAGAATTCATTTAAGACTTTTGCCATTTCTGTGCAGTCCCAACATGGGCCGTCCTTTCATGTTCAGATCCAAGAGATGACCACTCAATTACAGTTTTCTTCTGATGCTTGGGATTTTAAAATTATGTATTTTTCACATAGTTTTTGGAAAGATTTCTCAGAACACATTGATAAGTAAGTACATAATTTCTTTCTCTAATTTTCAATAGTTCTGGATTCCTTTTTTCATTTCCCATCTATTTACTGATCTACAGCTGCTTCTGAGGTCCTTCTAGTGACTGTATTGAAGAGGGGCATGGATTGCTGTTGTGATAGTAGTGTGGATTGGGATTATTATACATGTATTTCAGGATGTGTGCAAATTACCTTGGGCCTGCTGAAACTGGCAGTTTCCTTATTTTAAAGCCTATTCCAGTAGAACACCAAGACATTCAAAATTAACGGCAAATACATATCCAGTACCAGCTCTGTTTTGCAAACACTACTATTTTTAGTAGCGATCAGGATTACATGATTCTCAATTTGCTGCTGCAAAATGAATGCATTTAGACAATGACGGATATGCTGTAAATTCTACATTTTGTCAAGGCAAGGATTTGACAAAAATAAAGATGCAAACTTTTCAAAATTACTTCACAAAGTATGTTTCCTAACATATCTGGGGCAGGAAAAAACATGTTGTGATTAATGCTGTGCTGCTGTGATCGTTTATGATTAGAGAACAATACTTGGCTTTGGAAAATCTTTGCATAACATGTAACCTAGACAATATGAAAAGGTAACCACAGCATACCTTTGCCAGAACATAGGTAACTGGAGGAAAACATGAATTTTTAATGATTGAATTAAGAATTTTAAAGGGTAAATTCAAATTTAGAAATAAAGTAGGATATATATATGAAGAAGAATTGTCAGTCAGATATTTGACTGGTAGATGGTGTTCTGCAATTCCAGATCTAGCCAAGTTTGCAGGATTCTTGCTGTTCCAAGCAACACTGTCTTCTGGAGCTGAGCTGGTGTTATTTGCTAAGTGCCCAGAATATCCAGGTGTTTCTTGAGACTTCTGGGTACTACTCCAAGGACTCCAATGACAACTGGCACAATGGGAACACTCTTCTCCCAGAGGCACTAACTCTGTTCATAGGTCTTGATATCTTGTGATCTTCTCCTGTTCTTTTTTTTCCCTATCATGTTGTCTCATGGGATTACAGTATCAATGATCCAAACCCTATTACTCATTTTTCCTACAGCTGTGATATCAGGGGTTGTTACGCTCCAGGTATTAATCTGTTTGTAATCAGGAGTCCCAAAGAATCCATGATCATGTCTGGTTTGCGCTCGCTTGAATTTCTGGCTAATGGTAAGCCATATTTCTTGCAAAGATTCCAGTGCAACATAGCTGCAACCCTATCATGAGTCAACAATGAAAGGAAAGGAAGGGTAACTGGATGTGCACCATTATAGCTGCATAGGGAGATAACTCCCCCCCCCCACAATGCCATTTCAGCTTGAGAAAATGACATGAGGAAGAAGGTATGCATCTCCTTTCTCTCATACCATGGTCCTGGGATGAATCAGCTCCTGCAGACTTTTAAATGGCATTTCCCGCAGCTGCCGACTCATTTTTAAAAAATGTATTGTGGAGTTTGGCCATAAAGTGAAGATTCTGCAAGCCAAAATATGGTGAAAAGGTGGAAGAGTTACCTTCATAAACAATGAAAATCTGTACCCATACTATGACCAGAATCTACATAAAATTCTACACATTATGCTGAAAGGGATATTTAGAGCCTTTTTGATGGTAACCAAATGTGATCTGAAACAGTAGAAGGGTCCAAACCAACAAGAAACTATATAAATGATAAAAGGTTCCTTAGATAAATTATAACTGCAGAATCATCTGTAAAAAAACAAAAAAAATCTTATTTATATAAAAATGGATATCTTTCCATAATGACAGGTACAGTTAGATTTGCTGGTATACCTTTGTATAACTACTCCTTCATAATCCTAAATATCAGCAAGACCAAGAGTCCTCAGTGTGGCACCCAAAGCACCTAGCAACATTTTTCCTGGTGCTCACCAAGCGTTTCTAGAAATTTAGCGGGGCTGGGTTGGACTTCTACTCAGCAGGGCTTCTAACTGGCCATGCAGATTAACAGAATCCAGTTAAACAAACCTTTGACCTAAATGCTGAAGCGTTACTATGACAGTTATGCATAAACTCACTCCCTAACATTTTGTGGTTGGGCTCCACATCCTGAAGCAGTCATTTGGTTGTATGCTCAGTACCCTGCGTCAGAATTCAAAGATGCAGACAGTCTCAAAAAGGTTGGGGACCTCTGAGCTAGACTATTTAGTGCTGATCCCCAACTTTGGATTTCAGTAGAACTATGGAAAGATTTACCTATGTATAACCTGACCTTCCATGCTCTTGGTTAGGACAACATCCCAGTAACCCAATTGCTACTGACAATTTACGAATTTAACCTAGTAACTGGTACCTAGGGTTGCTGAAGAGGGCAAGAAGCAGCTTCCTACTTCTCCTCTGTGCATTTACTTCTCCCCATAAGTAGGACATAGCTCCCACTGCATTGTCCTCTACCCTTTTCCTACACTATTACACCCCTCTACCTCTATCCCTTCCACCCACACTTCACTATTCTTTATTTTGTCCATTTACTACACATCCCCTTTAGCTTTTACGCCCTCTTCCCTCTCTCTTCTTTTCTCCCAATATCCTTAAAATATTTTCTTCCCCACCCCCTCTTCCTACATTTTTAGCATTTCCATTCTTCCTCTTTCCAATAGGTGACTGCTGCTGCTGGCCAGACA